TCCCGCAGGGAACAAGCCCCCACCCTGTGGCCTTTCTGCATAACAATCCCGCTCCTGCCCCAGCAACAACTACAGACATTAACTGCCATCAACTCTGAAAGCAGGCACTGCCTGAAACCTGTAGTCAGCTTTCAGAAAGTGCAGTTACTAAAAGACTTAACTGAAGGAAAAAAGATCTACGCAAAGCAGAAATAGTCCTGCTTTAGCCAAGCCAGGACACCTGCTTTTCTCCCAGGTCAACCCATCTCCCCACAGAGCCTTTCCCCAGCTGAGCACATCTGTGCTGGCCTGGCCGGCCATTCCTACACCCCGTCCCCATGCTCCACACAGCCCCTGACCTGGGGGTGCAGAGCAAGTGGGCTGTCGTGCCCGGGGCCACGGGGTGACTCTGTTGGGCTCTGCTGGTCAGGCTGGGAGGCAGACCCAGCTGATGGTGGTCACTGCCACTGACTACCTCCCACACAAGCTCTTCTGTGGCCATGCAAGATGCTCAGAGGTCCCCTGCCTTGTTCCAGTGCTGGGAGATGTGTTTGGATGCTGCCCTGGATCCAGCCTATGAAAGTTCATTGAGGGTAAAAGGAATCACTCACCAGACTCCTTTCCCTGTGCCTGCTGTGGTCCCTGGGGCTGCAGAGCTCTTGTTTACTGTTTCATACCCAGATGTAGAATATGATCTCTGGGTGACACCACACTGGACAGGCTTGTGCTGAGTGGGGTCCATTCACTGCTGACTCCCTGGCACGCTGTCCCTGAAGATCCCCTGTGTTCTCCTGGCAGCTCCCAAGTCCCTCCAGAAAAACATTCTCCAGCCATCAGTCCTGTCACATGCTGTAGAGCCCCAGGAACTTTAATTGGAGACCATTCACCATCTGCATGGGTGCTGGACACCAATGAGCAAAACCTGAACCAGCCCTAAGTCCCTTGACGACCATACTGGGACCCTGATCTCATCACACTGAGCTTATCGAGAACAAGCAAAACAACAAGGCTCTTTCAAGTCTATTCCTTGGGAATGTTCTTGAGAGCAACTTTATAAGAAAACCTAGAGTCTTCAGGCACTGCTTTCAGGAGATCCTCTTTCATGATGGAAATGCTGTTAGGGAGGTCAGCTCTGTCACAGAAGTGTCCACTGCCTGTCCCTGCCTACGGTCACAGGACTGCCACACAGCAGGGCTGTGATCAAATTGCCAGAGCACTCAGGCCTGACATAGTGGCGGTGAAGGAGAGTGTGGAAGTGTAAAGAGAGCAGGTCTGAAAAGACCAAGCGTTGGTGCTCCCTGGCAGTGCTGATGTGCCAAGACTCTTGTATGCTCCACCTCTGCACACAGGCATTGCTCCTGTAGCACTAGAAGAGGTATCAGAAGAAAGACTTTGGACATACAAGTTGCTGCAAGATACTTGTTTAAATGCAGAGAGAGCACTGTGCCTCATTAACACAGTCTCTGGGTCAAATTCAACATGTAGACAGTGAATTAGCAGTGGCATGAATAAAAACATTTCATTCTGCACAATAAGGAAAACAAAGAAACACCTCCCCCTAACCACCAAAAGTAAAAAACTGAGAAGGTAGGCTGGACCTATAACGAGTTACAATACGAATGCTATGGAGAAGAAAAGTCAATTTCTGCTTCTGAAAAGCATCATTTTCCTCACTGCATCCTTGAGCTCCTGGTTCCTCATACTGTAGATGAGAGGGTTCACTGCTGGAGGCACTGCTGAGAACAGAACTGACACCACCAGATCCAACAATGGGGAGGAGATGGAGGAGGGCTTCAGGTAGGCAAAAAAAGTGGTGCTGACAAAGAGGGAGACCACGGTCAGGTGGGGGAGGCACGTGGAAAAGGCTTTGTGCCGTCCCTGCTCAGAGGGGATCCTCAGCATGGCCCTCAAGATCAGCATTTAGGAGAAAAGGATGAAAACAAAACACACAAAGAGCAATGAAGCATTGACCACAAGAAGCCCAACTTCCCTGAGGTAGGATTGTGAGCAGGAGAGCTTGAGGATGTGGGGGATTTCACAGAAAAACTGATCCAGGGCATTGCCTTGGCAGAGGGGTAGGGAAAATGTATTGGCTGTGTGCAGGACAGCAGTGAGAAACCCAGTGCCCCAGGCAGCTGCTGCCATGTGGGCACAAGCTCTGCTGCCCAGGAGGGTCCCGTAGTGCAGGGGGTTGCAGATGGCAACGCAGCGGTCGTAGGTCATGATGGTGAGGAGGGAATATTCTGCTGTAGCACAGAAAAAGAAAAATAATATCTGTGCAGCACATCCTCAGTAGGAGATGGCCCGGATGTCCCAGAGAGAGTTGGTCGTGGATTTGGGACAGTGGTGGAAATGGAGCTAAGGTCAAGAACACAGAGGTTGAGGAAGAAGAAGTACATGGGGGTGTGGAGGCAGTGGGCGCAGGCTATGGGGGTGAGGATGAGGGCGGG